AGAGGGAGAAAGAGAAAAGAAAGAGAGAACAGGGAGAAAGATAAAAAGAGGGAGAGAAAGAGAGAGGAATAAAAAGAAAGAAAGAAGGAGAGAGAAAATAAATCTGTCCATTCTTTCCTTCAACCTTTCATGGATTTAACTGCCAGGAAATATCAGAGCTCATAAAGTTTAAAGTACATTCACTGAGCTGTACAGGCAATAGTCTGAAGTTGGTGAAGAGTACAACTCACTGTAAATAGTATAAAGGAGGCTTTTCCCTTTACGTGAGCATTATTAAATCATGTTGTGAATCCTAACTTACGCAGGAAAATACTGAAAAGCAGCAGAAATATTTTGTCATGCTCTGATCACTGTTCGAAAACAAGCCCATAAAAAGTAAATATGTGATTTAAGATTTCCCTCCCACTTTTCTATTCCAGGTATGTGCCTAATTCTAAGGAGCTATTTCTACTCATATTCACTGGGTTGTCTCCAGCACATCTCAAATCTCCTGGAAGTTTAAGACATTTTAATTGGCTTGTGAACTCAGCAGAACCCAGAGACATCCCTTCCCCTTCAAAAGCAAACCAGAGGCTTTTTTACTCCTCAGTTATTTTTCAGGTTCTCTGCTCAGCTCTGCTCCCATCACACGTTTTCCCTGCACATAATATGGCCAAATTTCACAGCTCAGAAAACACATAGGAGAATACTTGAAAAAATGTATTCTTTCCTTTTCTATTGTGGGAGTTTTCAAAGCCTCTCAGATTGGGAACATTTCGTTGGGAACCTTTTCCATTGCTGCTCTTCTGGGCAAAAGAAATGCCGCTATCAAGCATCTTCAAAGTCTGCATTTTCTCTTTTGCAAAATCTGCACATTATACTGATACCTTCAGTACAAAAGCAGCATAAATGACAGTACCATGACTAATTTTTAAAAAAATCAACCAAATGTGATTAAGAGACAAATAACACATAATTTGGTCTTAATTAGAATACAAACCAGCATCCATTTGCACTGATGTAAACCTTAGCAACTGGCTTTAAAAACACAAGGAAATAAGACCTAACCTTTTGATACTTAAATTCACATCAGTCATTTCTGTCTGCTGGTTTTTACCCTTCTGTGTGTTTGACAAAACTGAAACACAACCAACACATTATACTTTTTCCCTGTTATTTAAGAAAACTCCTAGAGTTTCTCATGAAATATAAAAATTGGTTTTCTCCCACCACCAAAATAGTACCTGCACTCCAAAAATGCAATGCAATACTGGAATTATATAATATAAAATATTGTAAAAGTGACCTTCGCTAACAAAACCTTTAGCATGTGGAACTTCCTATGTGAAGGCCACAGTCTTCCAAAAATCCTTTTAAATACTTTAATAGCTAAAGATCATGTTTGTTATTTCACAGAAGGTAAACACGAGCAGAGCACTGGTAGCATATAAAATATACAAATCCTCATTAAAGACGTGGTATTGTTGACCATTGAAGGCTTACTTCACACAACTGAGTAGCATTAAAATATAATTTACTAGAGCTCCCACATAGTGATATAAAAACTACTTTATGCACTTAAGTAAAGTGTTGGAGAGTAGCAAATGGACAAAAAGAGAGACCTTTATACATGCGTTTCAATGTAAGAGTGAGTGTGCGCTAAGGAGGCTATAAGTGCATCAACCTCAGATGAGCCATTAACAGAGTCCCTCGGGGTGCTGCTTTGATAGATGTCCATGAAGAGATCGAGGTACATTTGTTTCCATTCTTGAAAGTCTCTAGACGTCAAAACTGGATTATCCAGAACTTTATCTATAATGGCTACTTCTCCTTCCCTGGCCTGTGAGAGAAAAGGAACAAGCAGAGTCAATGTGAGTGATGAGTCACTGGCAAAATCAATCACACGGGAAGAAGGAGAGAATAGGAGGTTCAAACTCAAGCCACAGAGCCCCTAAAAAAGCAGGGGGACTATCTGACTGCTATCTGACTGCTTGCAAACAGGAGCCCTTCCTACAGGGTGTCACGCATCACCCTGTGGGGCTGGGGCTTCCCTCGCCTCGGGCAGCATCCTTGGAAACAGTCCCTATTCCCCCTCCTCGCTCCTTGTTCTGCTGAAGAAAAAGCAAGCCCTGTACTGTTTACTATTAGCTGCTTGCATTTCTTGAGATGGGTTTCACATGACGAAGTGCCATCTGTTTGCTCTTCTTGATCAGCATAAGAAACGCTGCATGGGTGCGTGGGATGCAGACAGATGGCCTCTCGCCCGCCAGCAGAGCTAAGCCTTTTTTACCAGGCTTGTCATGAGGACATCTGAGCGCTACATTGCAAAGGCTTGTGCAAGGACCCCCCCATGTTAACGATAACTCATCTTCATTAAAGATCCAGTGTATGCAAAGGGCTTGCTGGCTGCAACCTCCTCCTACCACTGTAGTAGCAAAGAGAGGGCAGAAACGGGTAAAATCTAACATAGCTGCTGGTGCCTCCTTACCCACTGTCGAGGCAGGGGATGTGGCTGTGATTAGTTTATCAGTGATCAGTTTATTGTGAGATGACAGTACAGATCACAGTAAGCCTCAGATAAACCCATAGGAACTCGTGGTTGTTGCAAGCGGTGGAAGCTGGATGCAACAGGCAAGCCTTGGAAACACAGCTAACATGCAGGTTTCCAGCAGAAATGGTATGGTCACCAGCAATCTCCCCTCTATCCTCCCTGACAGATGGGTTTCACACTGCTCATTGCTAACTCACATTTTCCATGTCCATACTACATGTATGTTAAATTTTTTTGGAGAGCATGTTAAAAGGAAATACGAAGCTGTGTCAGTCCACATTGATGGGAGAGGATCAGAAGGGTCAGAGATATCATCCATAAGCAGCAGGTTGAAAGGTATTTTTCATGCTTTGAAAACAGCATCTAATTAACACTGTGTGCCAGTGTACTAATTTTCAGAAATGGAGGTGCAAGCTGAGAATGATCAGTGGAAATTAAAGCATGGAGACTCCTGATTACTGTATCTCTGCCTGAACTACCATAACCTGCTTATTGCAGATTGTGGCTGGTACCCACACCTCTGCACTACCAGCCGGGTAGCTCATACTTGCTGGCAGGTGACTGGGTTTGTGTGTGTCACAGAAAAGAGAGCAGAGGGATCTTTCATTAAAGACTTAGCTGATGGA